TTGTCATGTGCTGTGCTTCGTCCGTCAGTCTGCCTTAAATAAACCCCGTTTGCCCGTCAGTCCGGCTGCTTTCGTCTGCTTCCCTGCTCGCCTCCCCGAGGAGCGTGACACTTACCTCATTTTCTACAGTATAGTTTAAATCCCTGGTTGAATAACAACATTATCATTGCATCTACAAAAGTGTTAAGTGTGACAACCACCTTTCTATTACCACCTCTATCAGCCAAACATGTTAAGGGATTTAAATGTAATTACACCCCAAATTCAAAATTAAAAATAATTACCACATAAGTAAGACAAAATGTATTTTACTTCGACATTTTTTCAAAAGGCTACTTTTCTTCTCAATAATTTGGTGGACTAGTAACTTTACATCATATAATAAGATTATATACAGGTAGTGACAGTAGGATTTGTCAGCACTCTTTCCACCTCTGCTATCAGACTACTAGATTTTACACTGTGATAACAGCTTCAAACAAAGCCAGTGTCAAACTGTCATAGTTGGATACTCCTTTCGCTTTCCTTGCCAGATGATATCTTGAACAAATGTCTCGAAAAAAAGAATTCGAAGCAAAATAGTAGCAAACAATAATAATTCTACATTTTTATATTAAATGTATTATGCAGCAGTTTATAGCAGTCCAGAACTGTCAGGCTTCTCTATAATATATCATTTAGAATTGATCAGACTATAATTTTAGAACTACTTGTCAATAAAGTTATAAAAGTATTATGATTCAAAAAACTCCTTCATTCATAGCATATTCAAAAGGTCTATAATGCCTTTTCTTACTATTTATCATACGTGTATTGAAAAATCTAACCAAAACTCAACAGTGGCAGAAGTAACAATGAGAAAGAAAAAGAACAGCAAAAACTTACAACAGTGCCCGGACGCATGCCCTGGATTGTTGTGGTCGCACACTGATGACGTCAACTATCTTCCCTCTATCCGCTGTCATAGCTTAATAATGTTTCATCAGGCTTTGAGGCCGAAAAAGAAATTTATAAGTTTTTTCTGATGCCGTTTTGCCTTAAGTCTGACGTCTGATGCCATTATCTGACGGATTTTTTCATAAGACCTGAGGATGTCCTAAAATGAACACTGTACAACAGGTTCTCAATAGGGTTTAGGTCAGGTGGGGAAGGGGGCCATGTCATTATTTTTTCATCCTTAAGGCCTTTACTGGCTAGCCATGCAGTGGAGTACTTCGATGCATGCGATGGAGCATTGTCCTGCATAAAAATCATGGTCTTCTTGAAAGATGAA